CCTTTTTGGTTTTTTTGTTTGTACTTTTATTCTGAGTTGAGCATTGTTTTGTTTTGTTATGGGTAGAAGTTTGCAATTCTTGGTTTCAATTTAAACACCAACATTACAGGAAAATTCTTATTAGTATTCATAAGTACTTTGTTTGTTGAAATGCATTTACATTATAAAAAAAAAATTAAAACACTAACAAAATGAGCAAAAAATTCAGTTCATATATTTGCACATTTCCAAAAGGAACAGACAGTATAGAACAGTATACACACAGAGACAAGATACAAAAACTAAAATGCAAGAGACAAGATACAGAAACTAAAATTCAAGAGAATATTAACTCAGACTCTTATGTAAACATTGACTACAGCTAGAGTTTGTGAAAGAATATGATCTTTCAAATGAAGGCCTATTCAAGGAAAAAAAAAAAATAAAAACCAACACTAACATCTGCTCTAAAATTTCCAACACTAACATCTGTTTTTTAAAAAAAGAAAAAGTCTAAGAGACCAAAGCTTCGGCACCTAAAAAAGTTCTTTTTAAAAAAAGAAGTAAAAAAAAATCTTTCGGCTTTCCAAAATCGTTGTAACTTTTCATTCTTGCGTTCCTTTAATCTCTTCTGATCAGCACCTAATACATCGATTTCTTGTTCAGGACCGAGCCAGCCTGCCGAAACTTGCCGTTTGGTAGGGATGCCTGCCAGGCGGGTCCTGAGGCCCAAAAAAACTGGAAAAACTCGCAAATTCAGAGTTCAACAATCAACCATACGCATCAAAAATTATATTGTGCAAAATTAATCAATAAGTCACAAATTCAAAGTTCATACAAATCAAAATTAATCAATAAGTCCAAAATTAATCAAAATTCTAATGTGCTTACACTTCACAGAATCAAAGTCCACATACGCATCCAAAATTAATTAATAAGCCAAAAAGTTCGACATGTTTTTTGAACAAGAGACGGGTTTCTTGAACAAGACAGCTGTTATTTGTTCAAGAGACAGGTTTCTTGAACAAGACAACTGTTTTTTGTTCAAGAAACAGGCTTCTTGAACAGGAAACAGGTTTCTTACTCAAGAAACCTGTTTCTTGCACAAGAATCCTGTTTCTTGAATGTTTCATGTTGAAGGAACGGTTTAACAGAAAATTCAAGTTTTTACACATAAACTACAAAACTCTTTGTTCACCAAAAAATATCATACCTCATTAGTAGATGTCATCTCCGCCGCAAAGAGATAAGAGGTTTGTTTGAAGATCTGTTTTCAAATTAAGAAAATGAAGAAATGCCTCAAATTACATTTCTACAAAAATGAGAATTGAAGAAAAATATCCTAAAAAGGGTACATTGCACACAATAGTGCAATAAACATGGCATGTAGCAGGTGAAAATTAAGAATAGTCAAAGAGCCATTAGGGAGCATTATCACCACAATAAACATAAGGGTGAACATAGTCGGATCATATCAATTACGTAACTATATGCATAAAAACAAGTTGAAAGGATGCAAACCTTTGTATTCCAACTATGTATCCAAATAAATGCGCCCGATAAAGCCAATAAAAGGTTACTCAAATCAAGTGTGGTTGTCGTATAAGCATACAAGCACAATAATAATCTTATACAAAAACCATTATTACTCACCATCAATTAGAACTAAAAAACACCATAGCTTCAATATCAACAAATAAGCACAAATAAAAATGTTTAGCTAATTAATAAAAAAAATGTTTAGCTAAGGCCTAAGAATCAATTTCACAGGTTGAATTTTCATTCCAGCCCAACTTTATATCTCTTATAGAAATCAGCAATTTAATAAACATAGACCTAACGGCAACCTTTGTAACGCCCCATTTTATTTTAAAGAATTTACCAAATTTATTTAATAAAAATCAGGGTTATATATATATATATATATATATTTTATATCCAAGTTAAAACATTTATCGAGAAACGGCCGCTACTTACTAACCACAACAAATGAACACACCCAATCAATCAATTCAATGAACCTACACATGCTCAAGCTGTCAAAGTAACAATCTCAAATAATCATAAATTTCAAAATCATTCCCAAACGACTAGCATGAAATGAAGGTTCAAACGAAATCCAACATAGTTCAAAAATGACGAAATAAATAATCCAAAGTACGATAGCAAATAAATAAATAACAAGTTCATGCGGAAGCATAAGATTTCAACACATAATGACCACCATCTCGCTCGTCCTACGCCACCGCCTCCAGCTCGTCTCAACCTAGAACAAAGGAAGAGAGAAGACAACAAAGAAAATAATAGGGGTGAGCATAACCAACAAGCTCACCATTATCGCACAGTATATCTCGCATAACATTTTAAACCATCATAACCATAGTATTCAGTATGCATAGAATCCAACAGTCTAACTCCCTACTTGGCCCTATCGCAAACCTCCTATGTACATACAACAACCTTCCGATCACACACGGCAAGGAAGTAACTGGAAACCTTCCCATCACCGAATGGCTACGGGCCTGGGATCCTTTCCAGGAGACAGTAGAGATGTTTTTCCCATTCACGAATATCATACGGACCTGGGCGTCACCTCTCCGAATCTACGGGCCGATGACCTCTCACTGTTTATGCATCCTCAAAGGCACTAACATACGGGACACTTAGACTAGGGTTCTCACGCATACATCATTTTTTTAAATCAAAGCATTTATACGAAATATTAAGTGCGATAAATATGGAATACATCATAAATGTACCCACCTGATAGCAGCTACAGTTCAAATCACAAATCTCAAGGCGAGGCGAGGATCAACACCTCTCGACACCTACATTAAGTCCAGATACTAAAGTCAACACTTTAATCTAGACCTATGTAGCAAATTCACAAGTTGACTTAGCCGAACTCGGTTCGACCAAGTGGTTCGTGAAGTTTTGTGGATATGGGAACACTAGGACTTAGATTCGATCAAACCACATATTCGAGTTCACACAAAAGCAAGTGAAAGACAACAAACGAGCCACAAGCAAAACACATGGCACATTTGGTCATCAACACTTAACACATTTCAACATAGAAAAACAATTTCTCAAATTCACACTAGAATTAGAAAAAACAATTTCTCAAATTCACACTTGAATTAGAAGGCATATCAAATCAATGAGTTAGGTTCTGAAACTTTAACATAAATTTCACATCCCAGTTCTAAGTAAGATCACCCAATTTCAGCTTCAAACTCCTTATGCATAATTTTATAAAATTCAAACAAGTTTTTTAGCAAAAACGAGTTTAAATTAAAAGCACATGATACTGGATGATTAAGGCTATGAAATTTTTATCTAAAATACTACAGCGTATGAACAGCATCACATAAATTTTCCAGCCTTCAACACTCAGGATAACAATTTTATAAAATTAAAACCACAATCAGCCAAATATCACAATTATATCAGAACTGATCATAACTGAACTCCAAAACTTCTAAACTTTTTACAGCATGCTAAACATCATATAATCAGAATCTCCACAAATTTTCAGAATTTTTCAACTTCAGAACAATTTATCATAATTAAAATAAATTCGGGCAGAATCACAAAAAAATTTGTTAACCCTATCAAACCTAGTTTAAAAATTCTAAATATTTTACACCACATATAATCATGCCTGAAACATAACATACTCGAAAATTGGCCAGAAAATAACACTACACAATTACTTATCCATTTTACAAGAAACTGAACAGAAAACAATTTAATTTTTAAAAATATCTAAAAATCACAAAAAGTTTACAGAAATTACATATTCATCAAAAACAGCTGCTCCTAAAATTTCAAGGCAATCGGACTAGTATTCGATTTATAGTGAAATTTTCATTCGATACAGCCAATAAGAACTTCGAAAAATCATAACGGCAATTATACACCTCCAATCGACACAAGGTCAGCGCCCTTGTGTTCGAAATAATCCTAAGTTCCTAAATCCACAGCAACTAATCACGCACGACTAGTTCTCGCTCGATTCGCACGAATCGACGAGTTACACATCAAAATTACGACAATATAATATAATGAACGATAATATCACATAAAATCATATCGCTTCTCAATTCCATATAACATGATAACAGCACCTAAACACATAAATCGCGAATAACACGACACATAATCGCCGAATAAAAAGACGAAGAGTCGAGACTCGATACCGTTCTCGGGAATCGGGCGAGAAGGGTTCGAACGGGCTCGACGGCAAGCGTCGTCTCGAGAGGAAGGAAGTGCTGCAGCGGCTGAGAAGGGATGGGTCGCTGCTGGTAGGTCGCCGGACGTCGCTGCTCGAAGGAAAAAACGAACTCGCCGGAGGTGCTTGCGTGAACAGAGGCGGCGGCGATGATCGAGGACGGTGGCTCGCGGAGGTCCTGAGCGCGGAAACGCTGGTCGACGGAAGGTTCACGGTCAGAGGTGGTCTCGCCATCGGGGCTCGCGGGCTGGCTCGAACTCGCCGGAAAAACGCACAGGGGTCGCCGGAGGGCTGCTGCGCGAGGTGCTGTTACCGGTGATGAGGACGATGATGATCGAGCGAAGGTGATGAGATGGTGATCGTGCAGGGTTGTTCGTTGGGAAAAATAGGAACCGAAAAAAAAAAGGAAGAAAATCGAGATGAAGACGATGATGGTTCCCGTTGAAAATGGAAGGAGGAAAAAATGAAAAAGGTGTATAAGGGCAATTGGGTATTTTTACAAGGCAAAATGGCTATATTTCATTTTTTTAGAAAATATGGTTATATTTCATTTTCTCTTTTGATTAAGTGCTATAAAGGGGCATTACCACTATTAAATATACAAACATATAACAAATAAAATTTGATTTGCACTTGTAAATGTGTAAATGATAGAATACTAGTGTCAATTAAAAATTAACCAAAAATAACAAAAATTTCTCCCAAACGAATTCTTGAAATCATTTTGGATATATTTTCACACCCTCTTGTGAACCTTGTGCCGGTTCTCTGTATTTTGGCTAGTCGGCCTGTACATATTTCTTATGGTTGAATAAAATCCTCGCAATTTCTTTTTTTTAAATGGTAAGTCAATAGTCCTCTCTCTTGTGTATTTGTTTTCAACGCGGTGAAGAAGAAAAGGCCACCACTCAATTCAGAAGAAAGAAAAAAAACGAACATCACAAATCACGCCAAAACCTTAAGTCAAGCAATGCATTTGAGCCCTCTACAAATGGAAGGCTTACCTAAAATCAAGAAATTAAAACACCTCTAAAATTCACGCGAATAAAAACCCTTTTTGCAAATTCTTCATTAACAAAACCCACATTAGGAATTCACACACCAAATTAATTAAACCATTCTTTCTAAAAAAAAAACAGAGGAAGAATGGCGGCCCAGAATTTTCCGGCGAACCTTCTTCCCGACGAGGCAAGCCCCGAGTGGATGAACAAGGGGGACAACGCGTGGCAGCTGGCGGCGGCCGCGCTCGTGGGCCTCCAGAGCGTGCCGGGCCTCGTGATCCTCTACGGCGGCATCGTTAAAAAGAAATGGGCCGTGAACTCGGCCTTCATGGCCCTATACGCCTTCGCGGCCGTCCTCGTCTGTTGGGCCGGATGGGCCTACCGTATGTCATTTGGTGACAAGATGACCCCATTCTTGGGCTACCCAGGCCCAGCTCTCGACGAGGACTACCTCATGGGCCGGGCCTTCCTGGGCTCGTTTCCCAACGCGACGATGGTGATGTTCCAGTTCGTTTTCGCGGGAATAACGCTGGTGCTTGTGGCGGGGGCTTTGTTGGGGAGGATGAACTTTTACGCGTGGATGATTTTCGTGCCTTTATGGCTCACGTTTTCGTACACTGTGAGCGCGTTTAGTATGTGGAATCCAAATGGATGGCTGGCGAAAATGGGTGTAATCGACTTCGCTGGAGGGTACGTTATACACGTGGCGTCGGGGGTCGCCGGATTCACGGCCGCTTATTGGGTCGGTTTGTTGTCGTTTTTGTTGTTGATGTTATTGTTGTTATATTTTGATTCTTTCATTATTTTTTTTCTTTCTTAATAGTTATGAAATACGATAAGTTTTTTTAGATGGCTGCAGACGAATCGAATTCGAGCTCGGATTTCTTACCGCTTGAATTTGAAGGAAAAACATTTTTTTTCTTTTCTAACATGTACTATATGTGCTTTTCGCTCTGCAGCCGCACTATTTTTCGTGGTAAAAAGCAACATAATTTTATAAATTATATCCTGAACATACGTGTGTCTATTTTTTATGAATGATTATATGGTCAAGAAGTAGGCTAGTGTGTAAATTATGAATGTTCCTGAAGTTTAGAATGCATTTTACCACGAAAAAAGAAGTGTATAGGGTGCAGAGCCCAGAAACATGTATAGTACAAGATTGCGGTCAATGTTTTACCCTTTTTAAAATTTTGAGTCGAAGTTGAGCGAAATTCGAAATGACGAAATCCAATCGATCTGGACCATTTGTATATTTTTGTCGAGTCTAGTCTAGTTGAACCTTAAAAGAGTCGAGCTCGAGAAGCAATGAAAGGAAATCGAGCATAGCTTGATAAGACCAATGCTAGATAAAGACCTTAGCTCATTTGCAGCTCTCCTAAGGATCATTGCAGTGAAACTGATTTCACTACACAATAATCACATCAAAATTTCTCACTTCAAAATATTCTCTATTTGTGGTGCAGGTGGGCCCAAGGTCGACAAAGGACCGCGAAGCTTTTTCCCCGAACAACATCATGTCGATGCTGACGGGCGCAGGTTTGGTGTGGATGGGTTGGACCGGTTTCAACGGCGGTGCACCATTTGCCGCCAACCGGTCAGCCGCCTTAGCTATCCTCAACACCCACATATGCACTGCCACTAGCCTGCTGACGTGGCTCGCTCTCGACATCATGGTTTTCAAAAAACCCACCGTGTTTGGAGTCACGCAAGGGATCATAACCGGCCTCGTCTGCATCACCCCTGCAGCAGGTACATAAGTTATTTTAGATTTATTGGATTTGTTGGATAACCAGAGTTAATGTTTTATTAAAAAAAATGATTGGGTTGGATTTTGAGTTATTATATAATATTTAAAATATAATGATTAAAGTTAATTTGAGATAAAAATAGATGATATGTGATTGGAAGTGACGAGTAGTTCAAATTATGAGAATGAATGAATAATGAATTAAAGTTGATGTGATGTATGAGGACAATTGATGTTATTATTTAATTATACGGATAATACTATGGAGGAGAGTTTGGTTGAGTTATATTTTAGTTAGATTTTGAGTTACAAAAAAATTATCTATAATTTATAACCAGTCAGGGCTTGCGGCGTGATTGGATATGAGTTATGACAGATTTTAACCCGGTATGACCGGTTGAGTAATTTCATATCCAATCATATAGCTCAAAATCCAACTCAACTCAACTCTCATACTTTGTATAAATCTTATTAGATAATCAATAATTCTCACACACCATATCAATTTTACTTCACTATTCATCCACTCACATAATTTAAACTACTTATCATTTCCAATAATCTCTCTCCTACTTTTAAATAACATCAACTTTAATTATTATATTTTAAATATTATTTAATTTTAAATTCAAATTTGTTTGTTGAATCTACTTTGTTCAGAGTAACTCACTTTAACCAAATAAAACTGATCAAAACTTATTGAATTCATATCCAATCGCGTGCCTCAGTGTTTCGAGTTTCGACAAATTTGTCACAATAAAAAAATAATGTCAGGCGTGGTGCAAGGATGGGCCGCGATAATCATGGGCCTACTATCGGGCTCCGTGCCGTGGTTCACAATGACGATCCTCCAGAAAAAGCTCTCGATCCTCCGTAAGGTCGACGACACGCTAGGCGTGCTCCACACGCATGCGGTCTCAGGGATAATAGGTGGGGTACTCACGGGCATCTTGGCGGAGCCCAAGCTGGCGCGACTCTTCTACTTGGTCGACGACTGGCAACACTATATTGGGCTTTTTTACGGGCTTCACTCGGGCAAGGCCCAAGCAGGGGCCCGACAGCTTGGGGTACAGGTACTGGCAATGGGCCTTGTTGTATGTTGGAATATTGTGATCACGAGCTTGATATGTGTGCTGATTAGGACTGTTGTGCCGTTGAGATTAACGGACGAGATTATGGAGAAAGGAGACGAGTCGGTTCATGGGGAAGAAGCGTACGTGTTGTATGGGGATGAAGGATATAAGAATTTCAATGCTTAAGTTAAGGATTCTTTTTAATTGATTATGAACCTTTGTTGGGTTGGGTAAGAAGATTAGAAGTTTGTGTAGATTAATAAATGTTTTAACTATGTATGTGTTTCATGCAGTGTTCAAGGAAAAAAATTGAAGAACAATTGATGATATACTTATAATTCATAATGTGTAGTGTATCCTTTTTTTGTCCAATTATTGATTGAAGCCTAAAAAATATCTTGAAAAAGAAAAATTTGGTTTGTAAATTGTAATAGCTTTTGAGAGCTGGACTAGTTGTTATTTTCTCCAAAACATTTTGCACAAACACATGACTTGGTTAAGGGGTTGATGAGTGTCTAAAATCTGGTTCGTCAAAAGGAAAAAATAAAAAAATAAAAAATAAAAAAAAAGGAAAAAAAAAAGAAGAAGAAGCTTGGAAGGCCCAAATTTGAGCAAAAATCACACAAGGCCCAAATTTTGATTGCCGGCATTGTTTCAAGTGTTTCATACATACCGGGCCATGGCTTTTTAAGTTGTATGGGCTTGGTGTTTGACTCAAAAGTCAAAACTAGACTTGCCTTGTTTATTATCTCATACATAGAGCTGATAACTAAACCGAGCAGCTCGTGAGTTTGACTCGATAAGTTTGATAAATTACCCGAGCTCGAAACTTGTTTAGTTAACAAGCCGCTCATTAAAACTCGAGAGTAGGAGTTCTTAAGCATTTTTAAATTTTTACCTTAAATTGGCTTGTTAAAGCTCGATTAATATTGAGTAACCGCTAATTCGGCTTGTTAATATTGATAAAAGAGTCGCGTTTGAGCTTGTTTACCGACTCATTTAGGAGCTCGGCTCAAAAAAATTCAAGCTCGCAAGGTATCGACTAGGCTCGTTTACACCCCTACTCATCTATATATAGTTATAGGCAATCCTGCTGTAATGCATTATCTTTTAAGATAGTCCAAAATATAAAGTCTGATAGATGCGCAAATAGCAAAGACATGTCCACATGCAAGTATAATTTTGTACTATACAAAGTGAAAAGCTGCACTACACCATACTGAAATTAAATCATTTATTTAAAAAAAAAAAAAAAAAAAAAATCAGGCAAAAAATCAATGGAGTAGTGTTGTAATTATCTATACATGATTTGATCCTTTACATGCAAGATTTGAGGATAAATGTGAAATATTTAGTACCTTTCGGCTTCTTTCAGTTCTACTGTTGTTCCAGCAGAACATCCCACCGCAACCGGCTCCTCCTGGTCCAGATTCGTATCCCCTACAAAGTAAATAACAAAATAGAACAACTAAATTTTAAAAAAAATAATAATAATAGAATAAGTAAATATTGGTGATCACATGTAGAATTTACAATTTCAATTTCTGTTAAGTTCCATGGTCCAAAATTGAATATAATGGCCACTCCACCTATGTAAGATATTACAGGCAGAAATCATGATATTAAAAGATTCAAGTTCATATGGGGATCTCAGGACCACAATATTTTCATTGTACATTTCTAAACTTCCGACTAACAGAGAAAATGTCTCTAAAATATGCTTCGAGAAGATGATAATTACAACTTGATCAATTTAAAAAGTTTAAATTAAGGCTCTCCATAGCTATAGTTGATATATCCATTGTTTCTCCTACTTCCAAATGGTCGACAAGTACCCAAATTCGTCTTCTTAAATCAAATTCGTAGGTTCATGTATTGTTATTTTCACTTATCAAACTAGTACGAATGAATAACGAAAAACATAAAAACAAAAATACAATAAATACATTTAATGTGTTAGTGTGTGTGAAGTAGTACACTAGCAACTTGTTGCCCTCCCTATTCAGACAGTACAAAAAAATAAAAAAATAAAAAAAAAATGAAAGACATAATAAATTAAGCAGATTTGTAAGACTCACATGTTATCTCGAGTGAAGCTGTTATTATGCAAAAAGCTGGGCTCCACCCTCCTAGCAACAATCTGATCCTTGTGTGGGCTCACCATTCCTTCATTAACCTTCAAGGCCTTGATCTCACGGTTCAAATCATCCTCCCACTGCTCCACACGATCCAACGGCCCAGATTCATTCATCCCATCTTGTGGGAGCACTTGATTCCTCTCGGGCCTCAAACGGGCCCCAGCTGACCTGGGAGTGCCCCTGTCCACCGCCTGCAGCCAAGCTGTCTCCAGTCTTTGCTCGTGAATGATTGATTCGATTCTTTTCCCAGGAAACTTTTCTGACTTGGCCGTGCTCGTGTTTGGAATTTCGGAAATGGGCCCAACGGGCCTGGTTTGACGGGTTTCGGGTATTTCAGAGAGGGATGATGTGTTTTTGTTTGTGTCCGTGTGTTTTTGACTGAAAGAGTCGGGCAATAGGATCATTTGGACCTCCACATTGTGACGTAGGACAATTTCGAACGAGTTTGTGATGCTGCTGAGGAAACCTTCAGCTCGGGCTTTGATGCTTTTGTCGAGAAATCCAATGTGAGCCACAAAACCACCTGCAGTGGGAAGGAGAAGCATGATCATTAGAAATTCGTTTAACACCTATACATGGTGCAATTAAAGATTTTTTATTTTTTTTTCCTTTTAGAGTATGCTATCCTTATTCATCTAATCTAACGCAATATCCTTCAGTCGTGCAAAATCAGCTGCCAAAAAATGATGCATAAAAGTCCTGAAACTATTTACTCTTAAAAATCACCAAGTAAACCCCTTGATATTTCAAAATTACAAGTACAACCCTCTCCAACAAATAACACCCTTAATAGAATGATACAAAAACACACCAGTGAGCATTTTTAATCAATATGAAGTCTTTAAGGGAGTATTTATAATTTCAAAAGATAACTCATTATTCTCAAATAAGGCCAAATTCCCAATAAAACCAAAACTATGGAAGAAAACATATTTCGTAAAGTCTTTCCCACCATTACCTTTAACTTCAGATATCGACACAAGACGCGCATGCGAATGAAGCAGCTGCCTTAGAGTCTTCGAATGGCACTTATCAATACATTGTGCCCAAACATTACCCAACATCTTCGAATTACCACATCTCAAACCCGTCCTCCGCATTTCGCCCTCATTTTGTGAGTACACCACTGACAGCTCATCACCCCCCTGGGCTTCGATTCGTCTCGTGTCCAGTTCAAAACCAGAATTATTAT